CGGGGCCGTGGAGAGGCCGCGACCCTGCCCCTGACCGCAGCCCGGCGGCGCCGCTGCTGGGTGTGAGCGCTGTGCAGCCGGTGCCCGGCGCTGCCTTTCCTGCCCTAAAAGCCGCTTTTCACGGTGTACTCTCAGCAGCGTCGCACGCAAGGGGTTAAAGCAACCCCTGGTATCCACAGCTAGGGACCCCCTTGGAAATATCCAGCGCTCGCTCTCAGTTCTGTGTGGAAAATGCTGGACGCGGTGCTCTGGGCGTGCGGAGAGCTGCGGGCCCGGCCTGCTGGGAGCGCTCCGCTCCCTGCCCCAAATCCCCCGGGGGCTGCGGGATCGTGGTTCAATGCGTTTGAATTAAGTCCTGGGTTTTTTTAATGGTTTTGATGGGGTTAGGTATAGTGGGTATGTCCAGCTACTGGTAAAGGTTTTTCAGCTGCTCGACTCGATAATTCCACTGTTACTGAAAGGTGGGGGAGAAGGTGCTTTTTAGTTGTCTTATCTAAAAATCATTACTATTTTCCACCGGTGGCATAAGCACCCAGGTATTGTCACCCTCTGGCAGGTGCTCTATTAGCTGCTTCATGAATTTAAATGACATTTAAGATACAGAACTTTGAAAACTAAAGAAGCCATTAGTAACTTTTGATTCGTGTTTTAACAGATGGTTAGATTAAATCTGATTTAATCTGATCAATGGTATTTTGAGCAGATAAGGATTTTGATGAAAAAGACTGAAGAAAAATCAATGCATGCAAAATAGCAAACTAAATTAAAGGAGTAATTAACTTATTGATTAAAACTTTAGTAGTAGATAGTGAAAACCTCTGAATCCTCTGTTGGCCCTGGAAAAAAAAAATCAGAGTAACACACAGGTAATTTGTTTTCAGAGAGTTAAAAATCTGTGCAGCTATTTTTTGTGTGCTCTTCTATATGAGGTAGACTTCGAACTATGCTTTTCATTCAGTCTAACGGTGCACCTAAATAATGTCTTATCATGGATTAATGCGAATTATTATATTTTTCTTTTTTTTATTTTTTTTTCCCCTGGGTGTTTTTATTTATTTTGGTCTCCTCCTCCTGTTTTTCACAAGTAATTCTTTTTTACATATCAGCCGTGTCCTGGGGAAACTTAAAAACAAAAAAGACGTCTAGAAACACAGACAATGGAAAAAAATTGAGCTTTAGTTGAAACTATTTTTTTAGGGTTTGGTTTCAAGAATGGCTTTGGATAAAAACCTTCCCCTTTTCCTTGTGACTTCGAAAACATCTTTATTTAATGTATTTTTTTTTCCTATAGGCTTTTGCCAGCAAAAGAAAATAAAACAGTTTTACTTTAGGATTTGTTCAACAAAGGAAATGGGGGCTAACACTTTAAATGAAGAAGGTTGCTAGAAAAATGTGGATGTGCTTTCTAAAGGTGCTTACAGGGAAGCAGAATGGCTTCTGTCTTTCCCTGATCTTATCACACAACTTTCTAGAGGGGTTGGTCATTCTCTGCTGTGTCATCTTGATAAGTGGCAATCACTGTCTTGCTTTTGGGTGTGGTGGGTGCGTGTTGCATTGCTTTGCTTGTGCTATTCAAAACACTGAGATTGTTTTGAAAATACCTTAAAAAGGGTTTAAAAGTTGTATTATCTATTACTTTCTCTTTTGTTGAAGCTTCCTTGTTACAGGTCTAGAAGCTGTTGAGGTCTGTGAAAGACTATCAGTTTATAATTTGACCTCAGCAAGGATTCGGTCAGTAGTGCTTTGGTAGTGCCTCAGTTACTCACATAAGCACCACAGCTTCAGCCCTGTGAATATTAATGCCCTTTACTCCATGGTTTTGTCTTGAAGGCTGGTGGAGTTGCTGGTGTCTGTGTTGACTTGATCCTTTTTCCCCTGGATACTGTGAAAACAAGACTGCAGAGTCCTCAAGGATTTAGGAAGGCTGGTGGTTTTCGTGGCATCTATGCTGGTGTTCCTTCTGCTGCTATAGGATCCTTTCCAAATGGTAAATTTTCTTTGCATTATGCTTGGTCTTCTTTAAATGGGAACTTGTGTAGTATACGACATTCATGTCTGTGGCCTCCTCTTCTGCAGGTGACAGTTTGGATTCTGTGTCCAGCTGTGAAGAGCAGTTTCTAGAATTGTACAGTGTTGAACAAACTCTTTGAGCAAGCCTGGAATGAAGGCTGCTGTATGCAGCAACCCTTGCTCCTTGGAAGCGTTCCTGGATATGTTTTATAAGCCTTATCCTTACTTACAGGGGCACCCTAAAGCACTTCGAGGTGCCAAAGAGGGCTTGAGTCTTGCTTGCCCTGGACACTTTTGTCCTGATCCACTCTTTCATGGCGTTGGAAATGAATCAAAATTCAAAGTGCTTGAGCCCTGGAGGTCTTTTAGTTAATTACCCTGGGGATGCTGTGCCTGTCTCTTTCTCCCTGGAAACAACTACAACACTTAAACTGAGAAGACATCAGAAATACTTTTGAAACAAGCTTTAAAGAAGTAAATGCTTGTAGTCCCTGCAGAGAACAGGCATCTAAAATTCCTAATGCCTTTGTCCACTTTGTCTTTGTAGGGAGGGATAAAAAGCAGCAAGCTATGCTGTCAGTAGTAAATGTTAGAACTTTGCTGACAAATCCACTGACACCTTCAGATGTTTGATGTCCTTCATAAGATGATATGAAAAAAATGCAGTTCTTTATCTTGTCTGCTCTGTTATCTCCTTTTGAGGTGATAAGCATCTTTTGATTAGCAGAAGGCAATTCACATAGCCCTTCTCTACAATTAAAACCTGTTCCCCCGCAAGACATGTCAGTTTTTTCAGGATTTACATCTTCAAAATCTGAACTGTGGTTTTATCTTTCCAACATATGAGTGAGAACTGAAATTGTCTTTAGGAGAAGGAGTAACCCTTAAGGTGCAAGTGCCTTTGTAGTTGGCTGTTGCAGTGAATAAACACAGCTCATGTTGCTATGCTTGGTTTTCTATGTTTCTTCTTCACTGGACAGGACTTTTACGAGTCCTTCAGAAGCTTGGGAAGGGTTTTTTAATGGAGCTAAAGTGCAAAATATTAAACTGTTGATAGCTAGGAAGAAGTTATTAATAACTGCTACTGAAACAGTTTTGCTCATTGCAGGGTAGCAGACATGTATCAAATACCTTGATGATTTTTGGTTTGTGTGTGCGTGGTTTTTATTTTATTTGTTTTTTTTTTTTTTTTAATTTTCAATTAGTCAGCTGATCTGTGTGGGGTTTTTTTGGTTTGGCTTGTTTTTTTTTTCCAAAAAATAAAGACATCCATTCAATTCAGCCAAACGACCTCCCCTCTACCCTTATGTCTATGAATGTGGAAGATACTGGTTTTTCAAAACCTACTGGACATTCATGACTCAAACACATCTTTCCTTATCTCAATACTGAATGTGGCCTTAGGTCCTGACACCTTGGATGCTAATAGGAGGTTTGCCAGTGACAGCCAGGAGCATGAACTTCTGAAGGAATTACCCCATAGGTTGTGCTGGTACTGTTGTACTGTTTTGGGACAAAAATACCCTGTTTTCAACTATAGTTGTCGAATAATACGTGACAAAATCCACCTCTAAATGTGTTTGTGCTAGTTCTGTGATGGAGGAACAGTTAAATGACTCCATATATTTTTGAATTTCAGCTGCTGCATTTTTTATCACCTATGAGAATGTGAAATCCATGCTGCACCATGGCTCTTCGTCTTACTTGTCTCCAGCAACACACATGGTGGCTGCCTCTGTTGGGGAAGTGGTAAGAAAGAAGTTCATATATTGTGTGTCTGTGGGAGGAGAGGAAACCATTCAACTATGAAAACTCAGGTTTCTTTTTTGTGTGTTGACCATCTTTTTACTTGTGACAGTTCTTAGAAAAATATTGCTTGCTTTTTTTTTTTTTTTTAATGAAGTGTTGGCAGTCGTAGGGATTGTTTCAAAGTGAATATAGAGTTAGTAACAGTTCTTAGCAGGTCTGTTGGCTGATCTTGCTAAGTCAATAGATAGTGGAAGTGTGGATTATTCCAAAACGTGAAGATGCCTTCACGTTGTACTGGCTGTGTGTCAGTGTTAACATTCGAGAAAGGCTTTTACAGCTTCATGTGGGGTAGCCGTGGAAAAGATTTTTGTTTTAAAAACAGCCATAAGATAACGATACTCTATGTAAAGTAGGTAGGTGCCATCATCTGAAACCCATGCACCTTGATGTGTTGGAACAGTATTAACTACGTAAAAATTATCTCCCTCTCCTTCCCTGTGTGCATTCATAGTCAGCCAACACCATTTACCAAAATATTTTATTGTGTTTATAAACAGTGGCTTAGAGGTACAAGTGATGTGGCAGGACAGGGCAACTGGCAGCTGTGTAACTTCACTTATTAAATGACATGTAATCCTTTCCTGATGAAGCCTGTCTCGGTGGAAGGTGTCACGGGTGATCTTATGAAGGTTTTTCCCTTGGGATGGACATCTGGATATTTTAGTGACAACTTTTCACATAGTCTCTCTGATAGCTGTAGCCCTTAGTTTAATGTATTGGTTGGGTTATTGCAGGGTGAAGGTACATGTGAATAATGAAAATAACTTGTATGTACAAGCTTTTTGAAAGCCCTTTCCCTCAGCCTTTTGGAAAAGTTGCTGTGTTTCGTATCCATTAAATCCATTACTTTGTTTATCGCAGGTTCTGGAGCCACTGCAAGTTGTGGCTTGCTTTGCCTAGGTTTATACAATACCCAGAATAATTGGGACTGAATTCTGTTGAACACTCCAGATGATCATTAAGAAAGGTCACAAGAGAAGCCTTTCTTGTTTTGATGCCTAGGTTGCCCTTGCCTCGTTAACAGCATGGACTTTGCAGAAATTGTGTGCGTGGGTGAGTGGGTGGTTTCTTTTCTATGTTTTACACAGTGAGTTACAAATGAAATAATGCTAGCCTATTGAATTTAAGTAACAAAACACCTCTTGCCCTTGTGACTTTCCAGTCTGGTATATCTAGGCTGTTTCCCAGCATATATTGACCACTCCTTAGAAATTTTTTTCTTTTTTTTTTTTTTTTTTGAGAGAAGGAAAAGTTTTCAGTACTAAGGAAATGTCAAGGCTGTATTTGAAAGTGACTTTATATTCCAGTTTAAGATCATAGAATTGATTTCATTGCCAACATGCAATGCCAGGATGACTGGCCAACCTGTAGATCCATAGAGTTGAAAGTTTAGCTCTGGCAAGAGCTAGTACGTGACACTGCAATGGGAGCTTCCTGTGCAAATAGGCTGTAGCAAGTGTTGAAAGAGCACTTCTCGATGTGATCAAACGAGGACCATTCCTGCCTGATCCAGACACAAACTTGTCTGTAGGTAAATGATGCCTTATCCACACGCTTTATCCTAGAAGCTTGGATATTGTGCTTTTTAATAACTGTTTCTGAGGTTATTTGCAAACAAAAAGAGCAAGGTTGCCTTGTGTTAGCTGAATTGAATGTATTCCAGGTTCAGCAAAATCCTTCTTTCCCCAGATACTCCTCTCATTTTCAACTGCAGAGTTGACACAGTGCCTTGGCAGTGTTCCAGGCTGGGTGTTCCTGCCAGCGCTGTCCACCTCCTTTCTCCTCCTTTTGTCACACTTGGGTGTTTCCTGGCACTGCAGTGATGAAATGGGGTGTGAATTGCTGTTTCCACAAGTTTGAGGGAGGAAAATGGGCTGTATGAAACTAGCTTTTCTGACTCTTTTGCAACTTAAACTTAGCCCATGATGGGGGGCAGAAAAATGCATTGTCTCTGTGGTCTGCTTTTATTAACTGAGTTTTTTCATCTCTTTCTCTCTATTACAGGTAGTTGTGTATTTTTACTCCCCATGGTGGCTTAGCTTACTTGTAGGTTGGTCCCAAGCTTCCAGAGTGCAGAGGCATCCATCCCATTTTAGCTCAGCACCAGGTGCCTTGCTGTTACAGCAGCACAGCCTAGCTACTTCCCACGGGAAGCAGTTCAGCTTTGGTTCCCAAGTCATTTTTAATCTTTCGGGGAAATGATACTGATGAGATTGAATGGGACTTAGCCAGGGAACTTAATTTAACATACCAAGCACATGGAGATAGGTGAATGCAGCACCTACTAACCACTCTGGTAGTGGTGATAGGCAGGAGTAGATAGAAGGGGGTAGGTTTGGGGCTGGGTGGGATATGTTTTTGTTGCTGCCTCAGGTGGATTCTTTTTGATCTTGATTAGAGCCTGTGCTGTCAGGTTATGTCTTCTAACTTAAGGCAATGCACAGCACTTATTTCCATGGAAATTCTATAAAGGCTGTTAGAAATCAGCAAGAGGTTCTTCACCAGTACGGCAATGCAAAGCCCTTAAATTCCTTGTTTGCCTGGTATCTCATGGAACAGCAGATCCAAGAACTGTTTTCAGCTTCTCAAATGGTATTTCAGAATCAAGCAAAAATGACAGTTGGGCTCATGAAGAGGTGCCAGAGCTCTGTGATAAAATCCACTGAGAAAAAAAAAAAAGGTCTTTTCTTCTGCGGGTGGGTTATTTATATTATACTCCTCTACCTGTGGGGATTCTGTGAGAAAACTATAATTTAATCATCGGCAGCGAAAGAACAGTTGGCTACAGATGGCTCCTTGCACGGTTGCAGAGCCTGCTGCCTGTTTTTCCCAAGGTGGTCTGTAGTCTGGTGACCCTTACAACTCATGTACTTACTGCTTTCATTTTCAGGCTGGCAAACGGAGGTGCAGCATAGTTAAATAAGTTGCTCAGGGCTGTCCATGTGCTTGGCTCTTGCTACTCTAAGGCCAGAGAAATAGGTAGTTGTAGCCATTGAAGTGGCAGTGTGACTTTATGGTGTGGAAGCTGCGATGTTGTAACAGCCATTTTTCAGCTAATAAGATTCTGCTTTTTCCTATCTTTTCTTCTCCTCTTGGTGTGATGGGAGAAGTAAGCTGTAAAATAATTGAGATGGGGATTTAGAGATTTGCTACAACAAACCTGTAATAAAAACAGCACAAAGCAAGATCTTCTCGTATTTATTGTATATAAAGTCTTAGCCAATCAATAGAAATACATAAACTATTCCGAATTGTGTCATGGTGAAAGTTATAATTATGGTTTTATTGATTAATCATTAAGTTTTAATCAGGGCATGACCACTGGGACTATTATTTTGTCAGTAGTTTTTTTTTAATACATACTTTTCCTCCCTTGTATACTTTAATAATTACTACAATATAAATTGCTTTTAAATGTGAAATAATAAGCCAAAGACTCTGTCATGTTATGATTCCCAAGGCATCTCTTTGCATTTCCAAACTGCCTTTTTCCAAAACGGAGAAATTAACATTTAGAGCAAGAAACTGATGTTGGATTTCTAGGTTTGCTGCTCCTTCACTGGTGAGCGTAAATGAGTCAGCTACCTTCTTGTGTTTCGATAAAATGCGAGTATGTGCTAAGCTTAAAAGTATGATAGCGCTGACTAATCTGTGGTTTGAATGTGACCAAGTAAAAATAATAAAATAGGTGAAGAAGAAAAAAATTGCAAAGGTTGCGTCAAGGTATGTTAAAATATGGGAGAAATCGGTCAAATGGGAGCTTTTAGGTTTTATAACATCCAGTCTTCTGTATTGTTTACAGACTGTGTAAATTCATGGGAAACACAGTCCCCTGGAACTGGTTTGGTCCAGTTTCCCAGTTCCAGGCTAGGAGGCACAAAACCAAGCTGTGAAAAGGCAGTGGACATGGTGTGGATGTTTGGTTTTTTTTCTTTTTTCCTTTTAGGCAGGACGACTGAAGAAGGCTAATCTTATCTCCCGGAGTGAGATAAAGAAAAGTACATACAAAATCTCACCCTGTTAAATGTAATTATTTTTTGCTATAACTGAATCTTGCTGTATAGGGACTCTGAATATCCCATAATACATGAAAAATTGCTTACAAAGACACAGCCAAAACTCTAGAGGGTAGATACGTGGTGTATCATCTCATCATCAAGGAAGAAGAAGGTTGAAGAATACGAGTTACCAAGCAGGGGAAAACCCTTATTATACCACTTGTGTAACTGAAATTTGGAGATAGGAAACACTTACTGCATCCAGGGCTTTGGAATTTTTCATCTTGACTCTACATTGCCCTGTATGTTTAGTCTGCCTGTATCTTTACCGTGAGCTGCCAAATGTGCTTGGAAAACATGATATCATAGGGAGTGGAAAGGAAAACCAGATGTTCTAAAAATTTTACTTTTAATATTCTAAGGCAGTGTAAGTAACTGAGAAGGAGCAGTATTTTTAACCTCCTAGTGCCCATTTTAAATAGTAACCAGGTGAATCTTGCAGATCCAGAGTTAATTGTACACCTCCAGATTTATTTGTACAGATTTTTTTTGTGTGTGTGTCAGTTTAATATGACAGTGTATGCTACTAATTACAAGAAACTTTGATAAAGAGAAGCCCCCCTCTGGGCCTCCCCCACGAGCCTCCTGCGAACATGGTTTTATGGACAAGTTTAAGGTTGTCCCAGTTTGACCGATGAAGTTTCCTTCATGGGTGCCAAAGTGGTTGGACTCAGCACAGTTAATTTTACGTCCTGCTGGCTTTTCCGTGGAGGTGAGAATAAAGTCGTTTGGATCACGTTCTAGAGAAGCTAGCTGACAACAGCCTTTTCCATCTAATATTTAGATATTGTTATGGTTACGATCTGAGCTTTGCAAGATATTTAGTGAAAGTTTTGGGCTCTTGCTTGTAAATATCAGGTTCACTCTTACCTTTCTGGCCTT